TAAAGCTTCCAACCGCTCCTTGTTTTCTTCTCTTTTTTTTTTTTTTTCTGGGCCAGCTTTAGCTCTGAGGCCTTGCTGCTGAAAACATAGATACAATGTTGCGGTCCGAGCCCGGCTGAATGGAAGCCCTTTTCTGGGGTTTTGTTTAGCTTCTTATTTGCAACATAGTATATAGTTGCTTAGAGTTGCAACTGAGAGGCTGGCAAGTGAGGCGGGGAACGTTGGAGTCTGCAGCAAGCAAGCCTCGTGCTCGCTTCAGTGCCTGGCTGCCGGCCGCCATCTTGGCTGACAGTTAATTTGCATATACTCACTGATTAGCCAATGAAAAGGGTAGCGGTCGTACGCTAATTACCATGTTTCTCTTTTATTAGTGTAGATTTGTAAAGCAGAAGGTGGGGAAGTAGGTGCATCTTAATCACATCTTGACTGTTCAGAAGCCCAGTTTGAAAGTATTATGAGTATTAGTAATTTGGAGAGCCAGATTTAATTCAGAATGAAAATTTTGTAGGTTTATAATCCCCATTTGAAGTTTCAAATGCCAAAAGATCTGAAAAAGTGTTTTTTCCTGTAACAAATTTACTGATAAAACTGACCTGAATTGCCATGTCTTAATGTATTCACAGAAATGTTGTGTATTTAATTAAGTAGCACTAACTGGAGTGTTATGTAACATATACAGTATGTGCACCATATTGCATTTTTAAAACTAAAAAATTATAAAAGTCACTGATGCTAAGAGTTTTTAGTTGAAGGTTGTGAACTTGAAATACCTTTAAAGATTTAAGTGAGTATGTATGTGACTTGAGGTATGAGGTAACCCATCATCCACTATTTTATTACAATGGCCTCAGAACATGAGCCCTTTATTCTAGAAAATACTGGTTACTTATAATTCATATTAACTCTACATAATTTACCTGATTCTTCATAATATTTATCTGCATCTTAGGTATTAAGTTTCCAAGTAGATCTTCTGCCAAATCTAGTTTGAAGTACCAAAGGCCTTGATTTCATATATTATACTTTTTCACATATTTTTTTAAATTAAATCTTTATTCAGATTATTACAGTTGTTCCTCTTTTTCCCCCCCATAGCTCCC